GCACCGTGGCCGCCTTGAGCTGTGAAGAAACATGGGAACGGTTTTGTGCCCGGCTCTGCTGCGCGTGTGGAGGACGCGTGGTGCGTGCACAGCAAGTCCGGCTTCCCTGGCCCTGTGGAGAGAAGCTGCTCACCTGTTGATGGCACCGCTCGGTGCGAGGTCCCAAGACCCTCTCTAAGTTACTGTTCCTGCCTTTTTTGTTTCTTTTTCTCTTAAATGAACCGTGTGTGATCTGAGCAGAGGTTTCTGTGTCACCCCGTGTATTCACCTCTGCTCTGTGCTGCTTCCAAAGTCACTTTGAGATGTCTCCTCTGTGTACACACCTGGACAGCTGTAATTTAAACGTGCGGTGATGATTTTGCCCTCGGCATAGTCTGCGTGACCTCCTCTCTTTCCTTTGCACCGTCCTTCGTTCCTGTGTGGGCTCTGAGGAGGCTGCAGACCTGACTGCTCCATCCAGCCCATCTGCAGAAGCCATCAGCCTGCAGATGCTTGCAGGAGGCTGCTGGAACAAGCTGAGGTGCGAGATGACTCCAGCTGCACTCGGCGTTGGGTCAAAGCACAGGAAATCTGCAGCAGACATTGGAGACGGGGGTTAGGGCAGACCCCCCTGGTCCTGGGGCTGTCCCTCTCCTTTTGGAGCGCCAAGGGCTGAGCACTGGGTTGGTTTTGCAATAGTAAGCGTAGCTGCTGGCCATGGGGGAGATTAACATGTGCCACTTCCTCAAGAGCTCCTCCCGTCTGCTCTGCCGCCCAGGGATTGCGCACTCCCCTTCCACGGGAGATGCGAAGCCCCGGGGCTCTGTAATCAAATGGATTGCATGGAGCAGGTTGTGGCGCAGATGCACGAGGAGAAGTCACCGGAAAAGATGCGTATCTCGTGTCCCGGCTTTTCTGTAAACTCGAGGCTTTGTAAGTCAAGGCCTCAACCGAAGCTCCAGCAACCTCCAGCGAAGCTGCAGCAACACGAGAAAGCTCCAGTTTGCGGCGCTCGTATTTAGAGACTGCAGCCAAATGCTGTCAACCGCTCAGTAGACTTCAAGGGTCAACCGTAGGCGTCAGAGAAGATCTCAAGACAATAATAGTGCTCTATTTTAGCATACTCATTACAAAGTATAACTGCCCTCTGCCTCTAGCAACTATTTTTTCCTCATGCTCAAATGGTGCAGGAGTGGGAAGGCGGTCGTCACAAGCAGCAGCGTTGCCTCTCTGCCCAATTCCCTCATTGCCTTTTCAGATGAGACCTTTTTCTTTCTCCATGGCCTCTTGTAAGGAAAATAACCTTCAGCTAAAAGATGATTTGCAGTGGTGTGCTGGTAATTGCTGGTGTATTCATCTTGAAGAAGAAGCAATCAGACTATGATGCTTTTTATGCTGATGGGGAGCTGTGCTAGGAGGTTGATGCCTTTTTGTCAGCAGAGATGTAGTTTTGAAGAAGTTACAATGCTGTTTACAGATCGGGAGAGAAGCAGCATCTCACCAGTGCTGGTGTAGAGCAGGAGTGGGACAGCGGGCTCCTGTCCTCATCCTGGTTTCTTCAGTTTCCTGAACTAGGGGGGCTGTGGCATCTCTGGAGAGTGCGGGTTTTGTATGTCTGAACAAAAAGGACGAGGGGATCTGGTGAGTTTCTCTCAGTGTCTGTGCAGGAGGGGACACTTTGGGACAGCAGCCCTGGAAGTGGTGATGGTGTGGATGGAGCCTGTGCCGTGGCTGCTCCCCTGCGCCAGGGCAGCTGCAGGCGTTGGGCAAAGCACGAACAGCACCAGGAGCTGGAGCCACCGCGCGGTCCCTGCACTTGGGGGTGATGGAGGAGAAGGAACCTTGTAATGTGTTCATCGGCCCTTGCACAAAGAGGAGCGCTCAGCTCGCCTGCACTGGTTTTAATTTTACATTTTGTGGGGTGTTTTTTACTCTGCTTTTTCCTGGAGAAGCAGCGGTTCTTTGATGTATTCTTATGCCATATCAAAGCGACTTTAATAAAAGAGTTAAATTAGATGTCTCGATTCATAGAACAGCACTGTCTCTGTATACACGCTGTCCTTTCCCAGTCACAGCTTCTTCCTGGACTCCGAAGGGGCAAGATCTGCCTGTGATCCCATTGCTTTAACCAGTTTGGAGGGTTATTTTCTGACTTCCATTTATACATAATCTTAAGAAACACTCTCCACTCCATTGAGGTATCTCTCCAGTGTTTCCTGTAGATGCGTGCAATAAATGTTTAATAAAGAGGGATATTCACTCTCTCATACGCAGTATCACCGATCTGTTAATGGTTCCAAAGTGCTCTCTGCTCTGTTCTACCCCAGCCAAGGAGTAAGAACAACTGCACCCCGTTAACGTGTCTGACATGAGACTTTTTAAGGCAGAGGATGTGCAGTGCATCCTCTGAATGATGGACAGAATTGTGACAGCCCTAAAGCCTGTAAATGCCAGAAACATCAGTGGTAACTCATCAGTCGAATGCTCCAGGTGTTGTTTTTCTAAATCTTGTATCTTCCTTTATTTCGGTCACTCCGTGCGTACGCTGTCGCTGAGCTTTGTGCCGTCAGCGTTGTGCATCTCCAATTCGATCAAAAACCAGCCCTGACCTCGGCCCTAATGCTTAAATGCGGCTTTGAGATGGTAATGGCGGGGTAGTTCTTAATGCGGGGAAACAGCCCAATGGCATAACAGCAGTTGGATTCCGGGGTGAAATCTGCATGGATTTTTAGGAAGAAAAAAAGCCTTTGCTGCTCTGAAATTCTGCTGCTAATCTGATTTCTCCGTGATTGCCTCCCATTGCATCAGTCAGCGCTATTTGGTGCAGTGCTGCTTATGGGTTTTGAAAGCGCTGTAGATAAATGCGGCGTGGGAATAATCACCCGGCTTCATTTTCCTCTCGTTCTCTGGTAACACATCACTGCCATTGACAGCTCTGCAGAGCGGCGGAGTCGAGTCCTCCTGCGTGCACGGCGCCCGTGCATGGCACCGTCCTGACGGGATCACGCGGCTCCGCTTTCCGTCTTCTGCCTGAGGCTGAGATGTTGTTTGCAGTCGTGAATACAAGTCGGAGGACGAGTCCTGGAAGAGTTTTAATGCGTCTGCCTGGTCCCGAGTTCCCGTACGGTTCATGCAGCGAGGGAAGAGTCTCAAAACACAGCCTTTAGAGTACTGAGCAATTAATTTGGGCAAGCACGGAGCTGTGTGCATACAGTAATTAACAAGGAAAGCACCTTAGGCCAGCATAACAAGGTGGTGTGGGTGTCCTTCATTTTGAGATTGTTCCTCGTAATTGCAGCAATTTAGCTGGCTTGATCGATGTAACACCCCCGTGTAGTCGTGGAAGCGTGCCATCAGGCAGGTCTTCTTAAAAATAGCTTAAATGCTGTGGACTCTGCCCAAAAAAGTACCTGCCCTGGGGCACCTTATTTAAGTCAGAGTTCGTCGTCCTGTGTAAGCTGTCAGCAGTAATCCTTTTACAGGGCTGACTGAATCCTGCAGCTCTGACATGTAGACCGTTCTCTTCCTTATATAGGGCTGGGTAAGTGCTGGGCAGTAATGAGATTGGAATAAAAGGCTTTGGTAACGAAGATGAGCTGGCAGTCCCGGCCGAATCTGAACTTATCCCTGAATGTCCATGGACTTCAGGCACTAGGGGCTGGGTCCTGCTTGCTGAAGTTGAACCCGGTGCCTCTGGTTTGGGGCTGGTGAACAGTGTTTGGTCACTTGGGCTGCAGAGGCACCCAGATGGAAACCCCTGCCCTCCTTAGGTTTGCCTTTAATGAGCTTTAACTGCATGGAGAGGGGGAAATCACCTAGCAGTTATGTGCATCAAAACATTTATAGTGTAATTCATTGCCATGGTTCTTATTCCAGAGCAGCTGGGTTTGTTTTTGTGTCACTGGAAGAAGTTTAAGCTGTATTAGTAGAAGCCATTGTTTTCTGCAATAAGAGAATCTGTGTGGATTCTGAATTAATGCCATTTTATCAGGTTTGATCAACAGACAGATACTAGTCCTGGAAGGTCTCAACCTAAATGAGTGATGTGGGTAAGATGTGGCAGGGATCAAGAGAAAAGCAAAGGCAGCATTTGAAATAATTTTATTGACTTTCATGTTTACTGTCTCAGAAAAGATAGGGATGAAATTTGGAAAAGAAAAGGGGTCTGGAAGAGAGGAGCCTGGGGGTTGGTTGCGAGGGCTGCTGGCAGCAGCGGGAATGGGGACTGAGGGACAGTCGTGCTGTCCTGCACCGCGGCACCTTTCACAGCTACAGCTGATTCTTGGTCTCTGTTTTCCTCAAGACGCCGAGGTTGGAGGTGGGTGCAGGTGGGGAAAGGAGGCGGCGAGTGGGTGCTTTGGTTTGTACCTGGGCGCACCTGAGCGGTTTCTCACAAAGCGGTACATGGGTGAACACGAAACAACTTGGGAAGGTTTTTGGGTAGTGACTCACTGCAACTTACCCAAAGTGACCTGATTTAGTTAAATGAGGCTAAATATAACCCATGTGAAAAGTACTGCCATGTGGGAGGGGACAGCAGCAGTTGGCTCTCAGCCCCTCTGTTCTGCAGGGAACATCTTTCACGACTGGTGACTAAGAGTTTTTACTCTGTCTGGCTTTGGAAAGAACATCTCTGCTCCATTACCCCTTCTAGGGAGACAAGAACATGCCCTGTTGCTAATCCGCTGCCTCTGCTCTGCCTCTCTGAATTGCAGCTTCCTGCTATGGACAGTGCCATCACGCTGTGGCAGTTCCTCCTCCAGCTCCTCCAGGAGCCGCAGAACAAGCACATCATCTGCTGGACCTCCAGCGACGGCGAGTTCAAGCTGCTGCAGGCGGAGGAGGTGGCCAGGCTCTGGGGGATCCGCAAGAACAAGCCCAGTATGAACTACGATAAACTCAGCCGTGCGCTCAGATACTATTACGTGAAGGTAACAAAGCCCGCAAATCCACCTCCCATCCTTATCCATCTTAGCAGCCTCTGCCTAATGAGCTTTGTTTCCTTTTTCATTCTCTTCAAGGGGATAGGTGTCACGTCTGTCTCCCAGACTTAAGGTGTACTAGTTTAGGTTTAGAGGGGTTTTTTTCCCTGCTGTTTATCGTTGTGCTGCGTTTCCTCCCCAGTGGTTGTTTTATACGGTTCTAGATAGCTTTGTGCAAAGTGTTACCTTCTTTCATTTATGTCTTCCCTGATACAAATCTCTCTTTCAATACCAAACCCCTTTCCAAAAATAAGTGCCCATGCAAGGGTTAAAATCCCCAACACCCCAGTTCAAGCAATGACTACGGAGATTGAGATGGTGAACATTGCACTGCCTGCAGAGCTTCCTGCAGTTGTCTCTACGAAGGGGCTAGTAAAATTTTCGGTGAAGCAGCCCCAAGTATTTTTCTTTTTCTTCCTGGGTTCAGAATTGTCCCTCTGTGGTCAGTGAGTTTAGTCCGGCAGAGTAAGGTGCTTCTCTCTTTGGTTAATGTCTGGTAATAACTCACGAGAGCCTTTCCTTAGGTAGCGTCCAGAAGCTGGACAAGAGCCGTACCTTGGTTCCAGAAACCATTTCTCTCACAACTGTCGGGTGTGGGTGTGCGAGATCAAACACCAGACATGGTTTGTGAGGAAGCTGTCGGTCTGCAGGAGGTGCAGGATTGCCTGGAGTTTATTACTGGGTAGCACAGATCCGACTTTGTTCTGAGAGGTCTCAGTAACAACACTTGTACGATAAATAGGAACCTTCTGGGGTCCAAATTGTGTGTGGCATTTCCCTTAGCAAAACCAGTTCGACACACGCTGTTCTGTGGTATTGAAATAGCTGATTAGCCTACCTTCTGCTGACTCGTTCAGCTGCTTATTTTCTTTATTATCATCTTATTAAGAATAAAGGTGGTTTGGGTTGAAGTGTTATCTCTCAAATCTGCAAACCTGTGAGCTTGAATTCTGCAGGTTCTCCTGTTAGACTGCACTTACTGTACCCAGGTCTGGGACCTGTGGGGAGGGCAATGGGTGGTTTCTTAGCTGATCTTTTAAAATACGTTGAACAGAATTGCTCGACAGTTTTAAGGCTGTTGTCAGGATATTTAATGCCAGGTTAATTCCACCTGTTTTAGTGTTTGTCCGCGAGCTCTGGAAATGACACTCTGGGAGCAGAACTGAATAGCAAGAACGTGGTGCGTTTTTAAAAAAAGTAACATTTTTTGATGAAAGATTACAGACCATCTAATTCCTGAGGCTATTTTGGGTAGTGTTTGTAGGAGAAAATTAATCTGAAGAAGGTCTAAGTATACATATCTTCTTACCCACAGAATATCATTAAAAAAGTGAACGGTAAGAAGTTTGTGTACAAGTTTGTTTCTTATCCGGAGATTTTAAATATGGATCCGCTGGTCGTGGGCCGTATAGAAGGAGACCCTGAAATGACTGGTTTTGTGGAAGTTAGCAGTGCCCCAAAGGATGTGGAAAACTGTGGGAAGGAGAAGGCTCAGTCATGCGCCAAATCCTCCAGCCGCAACGACTACATCCACTCAGGCTTGTACTCGTCCTTTACGCTGAACTCGCTGAACTCTTCCAGTGTGAAACTCTTCAGGTCCATCAAGATTGAGAACCCGGCTGAGAAACTGGCAGAGAAGAAACCTGCTCAGGATCCGACCCCCTCTGTCATCAAGTTTGTCACCATGCCCTCCAAAAAGCCGTCCTCGGTCCCCCTGGTGTCCACCACCCCCGCGGTCTCCGCCACTTCCACCGCTGCCGTTTCGAGCGCGCCCTCTCTTCCCATGGGGTCGGAGGAAGCTCTCCAGACCTTGGAGACGCTGGTCCTGCCCAAGTTGACGGTCCCGGAAGCTCCAGCACCTCTGCCCAACTTGACCACCAGCTTCCCCCCACCCCCGCCGGTGTCCTCGGTGTCTCCCGCCCTGCAAGTTCCTTCCTCGCCCCCATCGCCACCCCTGAGCTCCAATCCTGACCTGGACATTGACACGGACATCGAGTCTGTGGCTTCGCAGCAGCTGGAGCAGGCCCAGAGCCTGCAGCGCCAGTCCCCGGAGCCCAAAGAGCAGGATTCGTCCGTGCTGGAGAAGGAGTTTGCCAATCACCTCTCCAGGTCCAAAAAACCCAAAGGGCTGGAGTTGGCTCCTACTCTGGTCATCACGGGCAGCGACCCGAGTCCGCTGGGGATTCTGAGTCCTTCCCTCCCAACTGCTTCTCTTACTCCAGCACTTTTCTCTCAGGTAACCTAATTCCCCTCCTGGGTTTTTTTAGTAACAATAGTGGTTATGGTGTATTTTAAACCAGTAAGGGAAAGCAAGTGGGAAATACATAGACAGTGGATTGTATTTGGAGTTCTGAAACTCAGGGTGTCACTCCCATTTTGTTATAAACCAGAAATTTTATTCATAATCCTTACGAGCTTCCACCCCCAAAGTGTGCCCAAGTGGTATGAAAGCTGTACGTGCCTGTGCAGCGTGAGCATGTGGAGGCAAACCCCAAACCAGCACCAGCAGGATCCTTTGTAAATCCTGCCAGGGTGATACTGAGTTATTTCAAAACCCCTAAACCCTGCCCTCGGGCCGAGTCTGAAAATGTTTTATAAATAGAGCACCACGGAGGTGCTGTTTAGCAGCTTTCTTTTACTTGATTCAGTAACTTAAGACCAGGGCGTTGTGACTTCACAGCAGTAGGAACGGCTGCTGAATTTGGTTGCTGTCGTTGTGTGGGAAGGGAAAGCTTTTATCCCTCATGGAAAATTTGGAAGAGAACTGAATCCAACGAGGCCATTAAGTTGTTGTGTAGATATTTAATCTCTTCCCTGTAATAAATTGGAATTAGAGTGGAAACTACAGGGAAACTGCAGATTGGAATCTGAAATGGCTGAAGGCAGGAAAAACTCCAGTGGAGCTGCTCTTTTGGCAAATGTGGAAGTGTTTGGCCGGTGAACCCAGACCATCCCCAGTTTTCAGAAGCTGGATGTAACTTTTGTTGTGCCTTGCACTGTCAGGGTTGCCCAGACCGTGCCTGTGCTCTTTTTAAACCGCTGCACTGGGTTTTCCAAGCCCCTTTCTGGTGCTGTGTTGCAGGAGGAGCAGATTTGCTGAGGTTACAGCGGATTTGGCAGCTGCTGGGGAGAGAGGGCCCAGGGCTCAGCACGGGGGGGCAGAGCCAGGGCCTGCTGCTGCTGGGGTGCAGGGAGGAGGCGCTGGGAGGGGATGGGAGTTGCTCACATCTGGACCCAGCTCTGCAGCTGCAGGAGCCCAGACGACTGCTCCGTTTCCCTGCGCGCTCCCCCAGCTCTGACTCCTTCTGTGTCTTGCAGACCCCCATCTTGCTGACCCCCAGCCCCCTGCTCTCCAGTATTCACTTCTGGAGTACGCTCAGCCCGGTTGCTCCTCTCAGTCCTGCAAGGTTGCAAGGTGCTAACACGCTCTTTCAGGTAAGTTTTGGCAAGTCTGCCCAATTTCCATGCTTTTCGGTACCTTCCTTTGCAGACTGTAGGGCTCAGTTAGCCCAAATACCTGATGTAGAAACAAAAGAGTGAGCTTTCTGTTTTCTGTCCCCTGTGTTAGCTTTTGAGAGGGTTTTAGTGTTTGCCCAGTTTTATTTAGATATATTGTAAATGTAGGTGTTTCAGAAATGTTTTCAATTAATAGCAGGCTGGGCTGTAGTTAGAGTTAAATGTATTTTCTTTAGGTCTGTCCTTCCTGCAAAGCGTGCCTCCCTGAAACCTTACTGGTTGAGATTTTCCTGGAAATGGCGTTTTGTTGCTCTATTGGTGGTTCTGCCTGTTTGTGAACAGTCTCCTGTTGAAAGACATTAGTGAAATCTCCCCAGTAGTAAGGGGAGATACCGTGTGTGATCCCCGTGGCAATATGTACCTTAGTGCCTTGCCTGAGTCTGCTTAGGTAAAGGGTAGGATTTAACTGGTTGTCTTTTGGGTTTCCATCTGTCATCTCCATGGCGATGAAGGAAGTAGCTTATATGAAATGATATGTTATAAACAAGTAGGTCTGAAAACGCAGGGGACATTTTTCTCTATAAATAGCTGGTAATGA